GAATGTTTTCTTGCAGGTATAACCCTTATTAAAACAGCTTTTGACTGCACAAACAGAATGATGTCTTTTTTTTCATTCATTCTACTCACAGCTAAAGAGTCACCAAAATAATAACAGTACCTTTAACTCAAACAAAATCTACGAAATTATATGCTCCACGAAATTATACAATCAACGAAATTATACGCACGACTCAACACCTTACCTAAGTACACTTCTGAACGCCAAAACCGTCTTTTCCCTTCGAAGGCGGAGCTTAAGCGATGCGCGACGAAATCGACGCAAATCGTTGCCGCCAAGAGTGTTGCTGTATTGTTAAGCTGTGTCTATACGTTGATGTCGCTCTAATAAAATCATTGTTTCTTTTTCTAATGCAGGTTTTCTCGCTCATATTAGAATCTTCAGCAGTAGCGTACGTAAACGGATTGCATTGGGTTATTTTAAATGTGAAAATAGTGACTGCAAATAGATTAAAAAAGTACAAAATAATGTTTTAGAAGATAGGTACGTTTTTATTGAACTGAAAACAAAATATGACATTATTGTCATGTCAAAAAATATAATAAATATTTTATTGCCTCTAAAATATTTAGAATTACAGCAAGGATTTGGAATTCTATAAAATATCTATACCTGTTGAAAAGCTATACAATGGTAGAACTGAAGAGATACATAAAGCATTTAATTTAAACATGACAAAATATTCCTAATAAGAATAAAACAAACCAATATATATTTACCTATTTAGCATAAGTAGAAGTATTTCAGGATATTAAAAAAATATATAGGAATTTAATTTACTTTTCTATAATGACTTCGTTTAAAATATAAATTATCTAGTTACTTTATTTAAATTAGGTAACTAAATATTCTTATATTACTGATGATAGTTTATATTTTACACCATGTACAAATATATATGATATTGCACATACTTTTTCACTCATCTTAATTGTGTCTGTAATGTTTTATTTCTGTTTCGTAAGTTTGAAGCAGTACTGTTGGCAACAAAAAAGTCTTCGTAATGACCGATTTTCTAGAAACTTCAATGTAAAGTTACTAAAATATCTAGGTTTTCTGAAATAGGTATTCATATACAATTTAATGTATCAGCTTAGATCAAATCCAATGTTTGATTTACTTCTTAATTAATGGTGACTCAAATTTTGTTGATGAGAATTTCAGAGTCATACCTTGAACTTAATATTGAAATGTATGAGGTACTTTTGTTCAAACTATAACTTCTCTTATTTGTTGGCAAGTTTATAATACTCTTAAAGAAGGCCCATAATCAAATAATTTAGTATCTGAAGAAATTACTATACTAAAAACATTCAAACATATTATTGGTTCGCCAAATTTATTAAATACAATGGGGTCTATTCTGTAACAATTCCTTTATATTTAACGGCCTTTAAAAATATTTTAAAAAGTGCATTGAACAAATGTAATATATTCGTTCAACTTCTAACATTTCAGTCCACTCAAATGTCTCTAACCATAAGTTTCTTCCCAGACAGCATCCCAAATCCTTTGGATATCTACTGGACATCCCAATATCCACTGAATGTCCAGTCCATGGTGGATATCTATTTTATATCCATGAGATGTAATTTATAGACATGCAAATGTCCATAAATAATAGTAATTATATAGCAAATTATTAAAAAATTACGCCATTGTGCTCGCCATTGCGGCTAATAGTACTGTTCAGATATTTAAAATTAATTTTTTTAAGGTGTATTCAATATCCCATGGACATCCACTAAATATATCAAAGTCTAGACGCGAACGCAAACCATGGTGGATATCCACTAGATGTAATTTTTGATTTTGCTTACTAAGTATAGATGGCGATACCACTTTCGCTCGTTGAATATCTATCTACTCATGGTCAACCCGCCGTAACTGAGTTCGATCGAAATCAGTATCACAATCAGACTCCATTAGAGACTGGAGTCGAGAATTTCTATTTATTGCTGAAGAGTCCTAACACAGGATAAAGATGACTTTCTCCTTAGTGGGCAAAATCAAAGGCAGAGTGTTGAAAATATTTTGAATCTTGAAAATATTTTTTATCTCTGCTATTTTCTTTCGACGTTATTCAATAATCATTGGTTACTTATGAACCTCTACTAAAGATACCCATAAAATATTTTGCTGAATATCTGAATATCTTCTATATCCTGGGATATAGACGGACATTTGGATATCCATATTAGATCCACTGGATATATTGGATATCCACAAAATATATTCTGTGGATATCTCTGGGATTTGGTGTGTTCTCTGGGTTCTAATTCGTATTTTAGAACACTAATAATAATTTTATTTTTTTTAATATGCATATTTTATTTTCCTTTTTTCTCCTAAAATGACGCCCATGTTCTTCGGTAAGAAATAATATTAACGAGTAAAACGTAACCTCACTTCCTCTTTTATATTTAAAATCACATAAAACACAAGTCTATTCCTAGTATAAAATAAACCTTACAAATCAAAGTCACTTTTAATACCACCATACTTGAACAAATTTAAGTAAAAACTTAAGAAATTGTCTAAAAATAACTGGAAAAATAAATATAAAGATAGAGATAGAGATATTAATCTATTTCTCTCTAATTAGAATCTTTCATGCGATATCAAGGCGACAAAAAAATTCACAACATCTCAGATGCATCCGATGTGGATATTCAAACGCGGGATTAGACTTATGCTATTTTACCACAAGCGATAAAATTAACAGTAATTTTTTTGAATATTTCACAACATATTACACAAAAAACATAAATATCTACACAAAATCATCACAATAATACACATTTCCCTGAGAGACGACACGGACGACACTGTTTAGCCATGTGACCATCCTCTTATTCGTTTCCTATCTTTCTCTAATGGTTTTGTAACACAATTGGCCAGAAATCGTTGGATTCAGCCAAACAAATCTTGACAGTTATTTATCTACATTTTATCCAAGGTTGCGACATTCGATCATGTATTGGAAGTTGCGACTCATATGGGCGCAGCCATTTTTATTATTCATCTCACTCGGGAGTATTTATAATAACCATTTTCTGTTTCAGATTGTTATTGTCTTGAAATCACGGTGGCTTATGAAATATGGCGAAATGTTTCCAATCTCCAGTGACGTACCACAATGTCCCTATACATCCGCGAACAAAGTTACTTATGAAAATACTTTCATTGAAACAAACATTTATTATTTATAACATGAAAAACAACAACAACAACAACAACAACATTCATTTTAACATATAACTAATTACGATTCAATATTATTAATGTATGTTAATATTTACAGTTGAACAATTTCAATTCAATTTATTCAGTAATACAGTAATTAAGTTTACAGTTTTTTATATAATATGTAATAATATAAAAAATATTGTTAGAAGTTAAAAGAATTAAACTTCAAAATTATTGTTTTTAAATGATTTAGCACCCTGTATACTATAACACCCTGTATAGCCACTTCATAAAACATGTGTTAACAGGGTTTAATAACGTTTTATTAAATATCTCGTAAACAATGTTTGAAATGTTATTAATTAAGGAAAAAAATAAAGAATGTCTTTAAAGGGCATAAGGCCTATCACTTCATCGCGTTCGGCTGGTCGAAAGTCAAGTCCCCGCTCTCTCCTGGTCCAGGGGCTCGATTCTCGAGTTCATTGGAAAATTTTCCCATGGGAAAAGATTCCACTACTTATATTCCCATGGTAATAGGTTATGCAATTCTCGAACTTGTCGGAATAGACATTCCCATGGAAATAATAGTTTCACGTATGTCTGATATTAAGTTCACGAATATTTCGAAATAACCAATAACATTAAAGATATTTTAAAATTTACTGTTGGTATTATTTGTATTTGTTGTGGTTTTTGGGTAACCGATGACCTGCCGAGCCTCTGCGTTGGAGCAGATGCCGTGCCGAGCAATCGCTAGCTTGACAGAGGACAAGTGAAAATATTCGATTATGTATAATTAAAACTTATCGAGTTATTTTTAGTTTTTCTTTTCACATATTGAAAAAAGAAAAAGTAGCTTTTGTATAGAAGAGCAACGAAAGTTTCGAGAAACTATATATATAAGAAATTCTTTCGTTAACGGAAATAATAAAATTTTCGAAAAGGTCTTATTAAATTTACTACAAATTTCTCAATTTGTGTTACCTATTTGCCAGTCCCTTAGCAGCTCCCACAATTTCTAACTAATTTAAGAAAATCAGTTTCTTAGTGAAAGAGAGGTAAAAATAATATACCCACATAAATAAAATAATATCAATTTATAAATACACAAAAAAATGTTTTAACTACAATTTCACCAAAAATCCAAGATATCCAATAATCTTTGGTTATGTATTAGTCTTTCGCGTGGTCTTTCGTCAAATTTTCGACTTTAATGCGCAAACTCTAGTACAATTCCCATTGGAAAACACAATTTCCAATGCTCGTAAGCAGGGGAATATTTTCCCATACTTCTCATTGGAAAATATTCCACCGCTTATGCCGAGAATACGAAAACTGAATTCCCATGGGAAAATTTTATTTTCCCATGGGAATAAAAGTCGAGAATCGACCCCCTGGACACTGCAACCGGCAGACTAGGTACCATCGACCCCAGTGGCGACGATATCCTAATTCGCTGACTCTAACAGTGCAGACGTGGTAACGTCGACCCCAGTGGCGGCGATATCCTAATTCGCTGACTCTAACAATATATTTGTTAGGTTAATTGCAGGAATAGAATTAACGTCTAAATTGAAACGAGAGAAATCTAAATGTTGTGGACATGTTAATGAGAGTCTCCGCGAACAAAGCTATTGTAATCGGATTCTATCAAATATTTTCCTTTCTACGTTACTGGAGACCGGACGTACTAGTCCGCCATAAGCAAGAACCACCTTAGTACCCAGGTTAATTGGCACACCTCTTCTCTACTCTTTATTCTAAAATTAGTGTTTTATGGTAAATGATCAAAAACTCGTGAAAGTGACAAAAACTGACAAGTGACACGAAGTGATGGTGATTAATTTTAAAATGGCTGCTTTGATATAAAAGTAAATATGACTTTTTTTCGGTGAATTATTTAATTATTATGTTAAGTCTAAAATAATAATTGGTGATTTTGTAATATTTTTTAATACTAAACACGTCTTCCAAAAACGTGTAATGTTTAGGTGAGTAAAAATAATTTTCTTTACACAAAGCAATGTTTTTGACAGGTTGGTCTCATAAATTTTGGGAAAAACTTTTATTAATTACGAAAAGAATGCAATAATCATAAATACGAAAGCCTATACAATGGATATGTATCAATCACCTTGTTATAGTTAGAAGGTTGTGTACCTAACGTATAATTTGTTTGTATTTCAGATATTCTATATTGTAGTTAAAATTAGGGTTAATTTATAAATTTACAAAAATGGATATTATACATGATGAAGATCGCAAGAGAAGATTGAGGCTTCTTGAAGAAAAAATAAGGGACCCTCTTGGTAAAGGGAATATTGATTCTTTACTAGATACAGTGCAGGCATTGTACACTGATTGTGAACATCCATCTATTAAGAAGTTAAAAAATGTAGAAGTTTACTTAAATAGATGTAAGTACATATTTTTTAAATTATTTTTAGCTTTAAAAAACCAATACATATTTCATAACTCTATAATTTGTAACTCCAAAACAAAACTACTAAGTAACTCTATATAATTCTACAAAAACATTATTATATACAATATATTTAATAAAAATTGGTAATTTTAGTTAGTCTAACCAGTTTAATGAATAATTCTGGGTAATCTTGTAGTTGAAGGGTCTAGAAATGCACCTGTCCACACTATTCCTGTTCCTGCTAGTTCTGACAGTTGGAATCCTTACATATAGTGGCCAGGTTATATTTAATTATTTGTAACCAGGGAATAAGCATAATAATATGTCTTTATTAAAACAAATGCATACATATATTTGCACCAGGGAGGCGAAGGTTAGCTATACAGCTACTCTTAACCCTTAACCTTCCTAGTTGACATAATAACATAATATGTACATTATATTTACATAGTAATAACAATGATCTGTAGTCTTATAGTATTTATAACAAATAGACATATAAATAATTACAAAAAACAAGAATTGAATTATAGAAAAAAAAATATATAATGAGAAATCCAAACAAAAAAGGTTATTGCTTAGCCAAAAAATACTCTTTAATCTCACGTCTAAAGATATGCAGTGATACCTTCTAATTTACCCTTATTTTTGCTATTTAACAAATCGTTGGAATGTTCTATTTTTCCTGAGATCTGGAAAGTAAGCAATATTGTTCCTATTTTCAAAAGTTGGGAAAAGAACAACATCGAGAATTACCGTAGTATCTGTATACAATCTGCTATACCAAAATTATTTGATTGCCTAGTTAGCAAACAACTGACTTGGCAATGTAAAGGCTTAATCTGTCAGGAACAACATGGTTTTTCCCAGAACAGATCAACTGTTTCAAACTTAATAACCTATCAATTAAATGTTCTTCAAAACATGGAGAACAAAAAACAAACCGACTCGATCTACACAGGCATTAACATTTAATATACCCTTTCATAGAACGAGCTATGACGTCAACAGTCCTATTGACAGATATTTGTATATGTTGAATAATTTTAATTTAGATATTTTTAATATGGGATTAGCCAAATTTAAAACCAATTGTAAAAATGTGATACATGTTCCTTAACTTATATTTAACGTATATTTAAATTCACCTTAATTAATTACTGTAAAAACTCACTTTTGTACTTTGTTTTTTGTTTTGTTTTAGTAATGTTATAGTAATAGTATTTTTCTACCTGCCTTTTTATATTTTTATATTGGAAATTGTATAAATTTCTTTAATGGGGTTATCCCGTATAATAAATAAATCAATTTAGAAAATAAAACTGATTATACATTTTACCAACTTTATAAGTGAAACTTCTTTCAAACTTTGCAGTGGAATGATGAGGCATTGTAAGCATATTATGTCTAATATTAACATTATGAACAGATGTTCTGAAAATTAATTTCTCAAACAAATAGGCAGGGTTCCTTGTCTTTAATAGTCTATTCAAAAATATTAACACATTTAGTTGATATAGATTGTCAACTTTGAGCCATTTCAACTGAGCAAAATAAATTGAGATATGATCATATTTCCTCAAACCAAAAAATGTATCTGCAACAAGCATTTTGTATAAGCTGTAATTGGCTCTGTGACAATTTGTCCAGACAAGGATAGTAAACAATATTGCAATAACTTAATATTGATAAAACTAAATATTCACAAAGTTTTTTTCTCATTTTAAAGTTCAATATAGGCCTATTAATGTAAAGCAACTGCAATCTTGAGTAGCATCTCTTGATCAAGGTCTTAATATAACTCTTAAATCTAAGAGACTGATCAATAAGTAGTCCCAAATTTTTTGATTCGTTATTTAAAGGTATACTAACATCATCCAACTCAAGTCTCATTGATCTCTCAATAGCAACACGTCTGGCTTCACTGCAAAATAGAACAGCAGTAGTTTTTGAAGGATTAATAGTAAGATTGTGTTTATTTGAATATTGTAATAGAAACTGCAAATCTCTATTAATCAGATTGTTAGTATTGTGTATATCTTGGGGTTCGAAGTAATTTAATAACTGGGTGTCATCAGCGTAAAGTTGAACTTGACTATCCTTAAGTACTTTTGGTAAGTCAGAGGTGTATACTAAGAATAATAAAGGACCCATGATGGATCCCTGGGGGACGCCTGAAATAATGATTTTTGATTCCAAGAAATTATTATCAATCACTACCTTCTGAGTACGATTCCATAAATATGATTTGAAAAAAGATAAAACAATATCACTACATCCATAGTATTGAAGTTTTGCCCACAAAAGTTCGTGATCAATTAAATCGAAAGCTTTAGAATAATCCAAGGCAATTAGAACAACAGCAAGTCTTTTATCAATTGCGCGAATAACATTTTCACAGAGGTTTAGTAACGAAGTAGTGGTACTATGCTGTTTGCGGAAGCCAGCTTGTTATGCAGGTAGGATTTTATGAGTAGTTAAATATTCAAATAACTGATTATACACAACTCGTTCAAGAATCTTAGAAATAACAGGCAATAAGCTTATAGGACATAAGTCTAGGATCAGATATTTTAGGAATAGGACAAATGACAGATTCTCCAAGCCCTTGGAAAATAGCCACACTGAAGGCATCAATCAATTATATGTGATCTAAGATAGTAGGTAGGCACAGTTTAAGCATGTACAAAGATATACCATCACTTCCGGAAGCATTAGAGTTGATTGAATTTATTGCATCTCAGACATTATTTTGATTAACTAGGGTAAAATTAAAAGTATTGTTCAGGTATTTATTATTAGCATAATAATGAATATTGTTAAGACAATTGCCAGATTTTTTAAAAATGCTAGTAAAATAATCATTTATTTCTGTAGGATTTTGTAGGTTCACAGGTAGATCATTTTTTAAATTAGAATGAACATTCATATTGTGTAGGCCTTTTCATTTTGCAAACTGGATAAAAATGCTGCTTTTTCCCTCCTAATTGAGGCCAGAGCATAATTTTGATATTCCTTATAATGCCTTCAGTTTTCAGGTGTTCTGTTACATTTAGATTTAGATGCCTTATCCCGTTCCTAGAGAATTAACTTTAAATTATCAGTAAGCCACTGAGCTGGTGGTTTACTGACTCTGATTTTTACCAAGGGTACATGTTCATTGAAAAGCATAGTTATATTGTCAGTTAAGAAGCTGACCTTGTCATTAATATTATCAATAAAGAATATACCATCCCAGTAAATTGCTTGTAAATCCCTTTTAAATTTTTTAATATTTAGGTTTTTAAATTTTCTTGTAGTAATGAATTTCTGTCTGGATTTATTAATAGATATATTTAGTGTGCAATGAGGCGTCTTATTATGATCACTCAATTGAAAGGGGATGGTGGTGCTGTCTTGATAAATGTCTTTGCAATTATTAAAGATGGGATCTAGTAATGTGGCACAACTTTCAGAAATGATAGTTGGCTCAGTAATAACATTAACATAGCCATAAGCGTCAAGGTTTAGGGTAGAATTAGGTACTAACATATATCTATGTTCAAATCGCCAGTGATAATAGAGTAATCTGATTCAGAAAGCAAAAAAGGAATTGAAACATTAAAAAGATTAGAGAGTTCAGTGGGGCCCGAGTCGGATGGACGATATATGACTGCCATAAAAAGTTTATGCATATTGGTGAAATAATGGTGAAATATAATTATAATTGATATTATTTAAGTCAAGATCAATAACCTCGCAATTGATATGTGATTTTACATAGCACCCTACACCACCACCTATTCTGTTTGGCCTATAATTTTTGTAAAAATTGTAACCTGGTAGGGATACCGTAGTAGAATCAACGTCATCATTCAACCATGTTTCAGTAATACATATAATATCATATTAATCTTGTATAAAATAAGAAAAATCAGTAAAACTTGGTAGTATAGATCTTATATTCAAATTTGCAACTCTTAGAGCCGATTCCACCGTTGTGTTAAACGAAGATTAAAATGATATATTTACGTTGCCAAGGTCATTTTAATATTCGTTTATCCTCATACCTCTATTCTGCAACTTTTGCAATCGTTGCAACTCATTCTGGTTGAGCAAATACAATATAGTGGCACAATAATTAAAATGAGGTAATATTAGAGTATTATAAATTATTATTTTAGCCCATTTGCTGAGGTGTGGAGAACAGCGCCTCAAATAGTTTATTTTAAATTATATGCTTTGATGACGTTATTAGAATGTTCCTTAAATTGTAAATTTGTATCAATCGTAACTCCTAGATATTCAAATTTTTCAACTCTCTGAAACTTTATTTCATCAACAGAAACACACTGTAATGCTACATTAATTTTTTTTTAAATTTCCAGTACCTTCAATTAACATCCACTCTGTCTTTTCGTAATTTATTTTCAACGAATTTCCGTTACAATAATCATATATTTTACTTATAGAACTATTAATTTCTTTAAAACAAGAGTCAGTGTTTTCATGGGTAAAATATATCAGTGTATCATCTGCAAATAAGTGTATTAAGCATCTTTCGACTATACCAGCAATGTCATTAATATAATTTAAAAACAGTAGCGGACTTAGAACACTACCCTGTGGCACCTCCATTTTATTCTCTATGGTATCTGAAACACAATTACTTACCTTAACCTTCTGTTTCCTATTTGCAATATAATGACCCAACCAGTCCAGTGCACAACCCCCCAAACCAATAGCTCTTAATCTCATTAATAATCTACCCCTATTAATAGTTTCAAATGGCCTCTGTAAATCTAAAAACACCGCCAGTGTAACCAAATTATTTTCAATTGATAACTTCCAGTCATGCAACACCAACTGTAAAGCAGTTTCACAGTTGTGTTTACTACAAAATCCTGATTGCACATTACTTATCAAACTATTCCCCTCTAAATAATCAATAATATGAAGAGACTTTTTCTATTAGTTTTCCAACAGCACTGATTAAATTTATCGGTCTTAAAT